TCTAGAAATCTCCAGAACAGGTGCGAAACTTCCCGCTTGTCAGTGTCATATTTGACAGTAAATGGGGCTCCCATTTACTGAAATACCATGAATTTGGATCCCCCATTCCAAACGTGAGTACCCCAGGCCATTTCCGTTACAATATTATTTACGTATCTTGCAGGTACCTAACCGATTTTTAAAAGTTTGTTGTTTATTAGATCTTACTTTAATCTGTCTAAAAGTTTTATTGAAATCGGTTTGTTAATTGCTGTGTATTCCAAGTAAGGCCAAAAATCTGGACTACCCATAAAACTCCGTGTTATATCATGAAAATTTGTTTTATTTATGTCTCTTCTGATAGGTAGCCTGGGTGGCTAAAATTTTATGGGGAAACTTCACTACTATTAATAAGTGTGTGTTGAATTTTTCATCCACATCTGTTTGTTAATTCCAAAGCAGACGAACCTCCTTGAGTCATAAATTGCGACCAAAATAAAATGGGTAGCCCATATTTGCTTCCTTTCCTCTACTATTCCGTTTAATCTATTCTATAAAACGCGAGAGCGAGACAATTGATTATGATAATCTGAAAGTAAATCCATTTTGATCTTAAAATGAACATTCTGTTAATTTATTGTCAACTTATTTACATTATACGATTTCATGCAAACCTATTTAAAACATGATACGGTTGTGGTTTCGTCTTTTCAGCCGGTTGAAGTTGTCTGGAAGCTTTTACAAACTCCTATATAAATAATATTAGATTAATGAAGAATGAATGTGACTATCCGCCTGACAAGACTCCTACCTTTGTAGCTGCTTCTTGCACTATCTTTTTATTTCGGGCCATATTTGCAGATCCACCTTTGCCCTTTGCTTTATTTTTGGCCTCATATTTTACCTTTGGCGGTTTCAAATGCTGTATTAAATTAATAATTGTATTAGTGTGGTCCTAAATGCTCGAATTGAAAAACAAAATCTAATTCTCCATCAAAACAGAATTTCTAATACCAAAGGGGCTCACCAGTAACTTATTTTTGGCTTCTAATTTATCGGCTAAAGTCGGAGTATCCACTTCGGCGATTGCAAATGGATCTAATGTAATGAATTCCGGTTGAATCTGAAAACAATCAATTTATTTAAGGTAGTGTAGTTTATTCTAATTAGTAAGTTTAATTTATCTACCTAATACTAAATAATAATTAGTTACCTTTTCAAGCAAAGCCTTCACTTCGGCTTCCTGTCTCTGTTTCTTAGACTGGAATAGATTGACTTCGTACGTGTCAAAGTTAGGTTCTCCGGATCCAGGTACTAAGAGACTAGTAAAGCCTTTGGCAGTTGTAACCCCTAGTACGTCCTCATAGGGACAGAAATTAAAATTACCTGGAAACATAAATACGTAGTAATTCGTAGTTTAAAAGATACGATGTAAAGCATTACTCAAAGTACGCGGTAAAGTTGAAAAATATATTGCAACGAATGGTCTCCTTTCTTTCTACTGATTTGACATGAATAGTATGGATCCGCATGTCCGGAAGTTTAGAAAGTCAAGTTTTGCACTGACCATTGATCCGTTAAAAACCAACTCTCAAACAACATTATACGACTCAGTAGAAAAGCTTTCTCCCCGGGTTTTTCAACCTCAAATTTTATGTATGTATGTATGTATGTATGTATGCATGTATGTATGTTTTGTTGGTGGTTTTTCGTCATCATGGCGGGATTTTGCTCATATATAGTGTGTCCCACAGGGAACCGCTACGATCGATATCTGGCAAGATGTTAATTAGAAGAAATTTTTTAAAATTATACATTGTACCGAAGTCATTGGGGGTAAGCGGTCTAAAATATTTTCAAGATGGTCACACTTCCGGTTATACCGGAAGTAGGTATCAACTTGCTTATTTCAAATGGAACACCCTGTATATTATAACATTTTTGAATTTCACTCCCAATTCTAAATACATTTTATGTATAAAATCCTATACCTAAGTCTAACCGTTTTTTATATATTTGAAATTTTATGACAGTTGCAGCCACTCGAATAATTATTCATTTTTCCTATAAGGGAATATGTGCTACGTAACTTGAGTCGCATTTTTTGTTGGAAAGGACTTACTTTAATGGAATGTCGACAAAATGTTGATAACTATTAATATGTGTGTAGAAGTGTTAAAAAAATAAGTTTCAAAATGACGTTGAGCACACCGCCTAAAATCATTTTTTTCAGATGAAGACCCCCATTTTTTGATAAATAAGAATATCATTACTGTTCATGTTATGATTTTACATTTAGATATTTGAATATTTGGAAGTAATAGAGCAGAAAATTAACAAAGACAACGTGTTAGTAAAACATATATACGATAGCAAAAATCCAAAATGGCAAAAAAAATGTAGAATTTCGGAAAAGGTTTCGGTTTTCAAAGGCCACTATTATTGAGGTGATATTGCCTTTTTTAAACAAACCATTAATGAAAGCGGATAATCGTGGACTACCAATATCAAATAGCACCCATTACTCGATTGCTGGTATGTTTAAGATTCTATGCAGCAAGTAGTTTTCTATTCTATAGATTCTATGCAACAAGTAGCAAATTTTCTATGATTCCATGTTGTGTCCATGTCCCTTCTTACTTTCTTACATAAAGTGTAGATGTAGATATTATATTGTAGCTTCCGTTCGGTGATTTTCGTGATACAAGTTAGTCTTTCAGCGACTCAAAATACATAGACGCCATCTTAGATTCGCCAACAGTCCCAATATAAAATTACCAAACAAGTCTCAAAAACCTATACTCGACCCATAGTTCACGAAGTACTGTTGAGTACTGTACGATCTCGTACTTGGCAAAGCATGAGCTCAGTATCGGACTGAGCAGGGCCTGCTCACTCTCGTGCAATGACAGTTCTGCGTTAATATAGTTTACTCAGACCACGGTGCGCTGTTATCGCGCCTCTCAGCTGATCGAAGAAGTTATTTTCAGGCTTGCCAGGTCTACCGTTTTACGGTAGGTCTCCCGTTTTCATGAGAGCTACTGCTCTACCGCTATGCCATAAGAACCATAAGTTAAATATAACTATTATGTATTACACTATTTGTCAACAAATCAGCTACATTGCACCGCGATTGGCGATTGGATTACATGTTTTTTTTTTCGTTTTTCGTTTCCTAAAGCACGCCTCGGAGCTACGCTAACACCTTCTTGGCTGAAGACCACTTAAAAAGTTCGAAACGCTCAAATTTACAAACATTCAATTATCTCCCATTTTGTTTTTAAATCGATTCTATAACTATCTATCTAATCTATGTTTTTTATGTCTATTCTACCGCTTTCGTAGTACTTGACCTGGCAACACTGGTCATCTTGTGAAAATTGTAACCATATTTTTCCAATAACAAAACAAAATGGTTACTTAAGTGATTCTAATTTGCTTCACAGGAATTCACAATGCACAGATGTTTCGTCGGCTTTTA